CTGCAACACTTGTGCTACCGTAATGACAAAGTGAAGACTGATGTGCGGAAGCTCAAAGGCATCCCTGTGCTGGTGGGATTGCTGGATCATCCCAAAAAGGAAGTACACCTTGGAGCCTGTGGGGCGCTCAAGAATATCTCCTTTGGGATTGATCAGGATAACAAGATTGCCATAAAAAACTGTGATGGTGTTCCTGCCCTTGTTCGGTTGCTTCCAAAGGCTCAGGATATGGACCTTACTGAGGTTATTACTGGAACTCGGTGGAATCTCTCATCCCATGACTCAATCAAAATGGAGATTGTGGACCACGCACTGCACGCCTTGACGGATGAAGTGATCATCCCACATTCTGTCTGGGAGCGGGAGCCTAATGAAGATTGTAAGCCTCGCCACACTGAGTGGGAGTCGGTGCTCACCAACACAGCTGGCTGCCTCAGGAATGTCAGCTCAGAGCGAAGTGAAGCTCGCAGGAAACTTCGGGAATGTGATGGTTTAGTGGATGCTCTCATTTTCATTGTTCAGACTGAGATTGGGCAAAAGGATTCGGACAGCAAGCTTGTGGAGAACTGTGTTTGCCTTCTTCGGAACTTATCATATCAAGTTCACCAGGAGATCCCTCAGGCAGAGCGTTACCAGGAGGCACCACCCACCGTTGCCAACAATACTGGGCCACATGCTGCCAGCTGCTTTGGGGCCAAGAAGGGTAAAGGGAAAAAACCGACAGAGGATCCAGCAAATGATGCTGTGGACTTCCCTAAAAGAACCACTCCTGCTCGAGGCTACGAGCTCTTGTTTCAACCAGAGGTAGTTCGGATATACCATTTCACTCCTCAGGGAAAGCAAGACTCCTGCCATCCTAGAAGCCTCGGCTGGAGCTATCCAGAAATTGTGTGCTGGACGCTGGACTTATGGTCGATATATCCGTTCAGCTCTACGTCAGGAGAAGGCTCTCTCTGCCATAGCTGATCTCCTGACCAATGAACATGAGAGAGTAGTGAAAGCTGCATCGGGAGCACTGAGAAATCTGGCTGTGGACGCTCGCAACAAAGAACTGATCGGTAAACATGCTATTCCTAACTTGGTAAAGAATCTACCAGGAGGGCAGCAGAGCCCTTCCCAGAATTTCTCGGAGGATACTGTGGTCTCTATTTTGAACACCATCAATGAGGTTATCGCTGAGAACTTGGAAGCAGCCAAGAAGCTTAGGGAGACACAGGGTATTGAGAAGCTGGTGTTGATCAACAAATCAGGGACTCGTTCAGAAAAAGAG